ATCCAGGGCAACCTCGGCGACTGCTGGTTCCTCGGTGCGTGGACAATTCCGGCGTCTTTCTAACCCGATACAGGCGCGATCAGCGTCCTTGCCACGCGGCTCGACCTGCTCACGCAGGTGTTTTGGCGCGACGACCAGTACAAGGGCCACGGCCTCTTCGTCTGCCGCTTCATGAAGGTACGTGCGCGCCACCCTCTGCGTCCACTGAGCTGCGTACGAGGACTTTGCGTGGCATTACGTCATCATTGACGACCGCCTGCCCGTGTTTGGGTACACTAACAACCGCGCCGGGAAGCCGTTTTTTGCGCGCTGCAGCGACCCGAACGAACTCTGGTAGCACGAATCCTTCTTCGCACACCGTCTTGAGCACCTGTGGAAGGGTGCCCCTCATGGAGAAGGCGTACGCCAAGCTCCACGGCAGCTACGAAGCTCTCATTGGCGGCTACATTGACGTGGCGCTGAGCGACCTCACGGGTCTATGCTCGGAGCAGATCATCCTCAAGCCAGGCTACCCTGGTGCGCCTTGGATGGAAAGCATTGTCATGTATCGAGTGGAGGTTAGGGTTCGCCGAAGACCCGTACAAGCCGATTCGCGCCGACCAGAAGCGCGGCGATGAGTTCTGGCAAAAGCTCGTCCAGTACAAGCGCAACGGGACGCTCATGGGCTGCTCGATCCAGCCCGATCCGAAGAACGACAAGAACGTGGTTGCTGAAGGCAGCGCGGGCCAAGGTTCGTGGTTCTACCTGTCGTCGAGTGTTATTATACACCTTGTGGTATGGTAGGACTCTACTACAAACACGCATACGGACTCGTCGACGTTGGCGAGATCACGCTCAAGGACAAGTCGGGCCTGCGGTTGGTCAAAGTCCGTAATCCATGGGGCATGGGCGAGTGGGTACATATATCAATCTTTCAATGTTTCAATGGATGGAAACGAGGCGCGTAGACGGGGCCGTGGTCCGACCAGAGCGACGAGCGAGAGGTATACGACGACGAGATCCAGCGCGTCTTCAAGGTCATTGCGCGCTCCGTGGGCGAGAACGCGTACTCCAAGCTCCATCGCGAGCGTACGAAATGCGACACGACCTCTTGCGTCTCATGGCAATGTAGAGCACACGCAGCTCTCGGAGCTCGTGCAGGAAGACGTTGCCGAGATCAACCAGAACGACGGCACGTTTTTCATGACGTACGCCGACTGGTCGGAGCGCTACACACACTTCTTTGCCGGCATTGGTACTCGAAGACTACGTTCTTATACACGTAGAAAGACCGCTGCGTAGACTTCGCCGACGAGTGGTGCGGGCGGCGCGTCCAAGGCAAGTGGGACGAGATCTCGTGCGGCGGCAACACCAGCAAGGCCACGTGGATCAACAACCCGCGCTTCCAGCTGCACGTGCTCGAGCGCTGCCACCTCTTTATCGCCGTGAGTCAGAACGACCCGCGCGGCAAGGTCGACGCGCGCGGCCTCGTGCCCATCGGGTAGCGCCGCCACTCTCAAAGTGCACTTCTAAAGAAAGTGGCGTAGCTTCCACGTCTGCTCCGTGTCCGAAGGTCCGAACGGCGCCATTGAGATCCGCGAGCCAAAGAAGAAGGCTGCGCCGTACTACCGCTTGCACCCGGAGGCGTCTCGACAGGCGCTTCTTGACGGCTCCGTGGCCGAAGCCTCGCCGCCACCCATTATCCCCGGAACCGTCATTCCCGGCGTGGACGACGATGGCGTGCCCCAACCCGCCTACACGCTCAAGCAAGCGGCCTCGGTGCGTCCTCGAAAGTCAACATATCAACTTGATATTTGAACCCGTGTGATCTAGGTCGACATGCACATTGAGCCAGGACGCTATTGCATCGTCCCGAGCTTGTACATGCGGACGGTCCGGTTTAAATCAAGGTATCCGACCTTTCAACGCGTGTTGCTAGGACAAGCAATCCAACAAGACCAACGTCGGGCCGTTCTGGATCTCGGTCTACGGCAACAAACCTGTGTTTGAGCTCGAGGGCGGCGAGCCCATCATTGAAGAAGAAGAGATCGACGAGACGGCGTGCAAAAGCAGCCCGTCGACGCCGGCGCCACCGACCGTCGTCCTCTCGCCGATTGTGGTGCCAGGCGACGGCGCGCGTCGCCAGTTTGAGAATCTCAAAGAAGAGTTTCTCGCCCAAGCCCGCCTCAAAGGTACTCGAGATGCGTTCAAAACGGTTCAATGCGGTGTTGGTAGGGATTGGGTTTCGCGAAGCGAAGCGCGAATTTACAAATGCGGGGCCCATGCGACGCGCCGACTTTAAGCGCCGGATGCTCAACCTCGGCTTCAAGATGGACGAGGTGAGCGACGAGAAGGTCAACATCCTCTTCGAGGGCCTCGACCTCGAGAAAAAACACGATTCACGCAAGCGCACTCCTCGAAATCTTTGTTCGCGACATTGACGAGGACCGCGTCGTCTCGATCGTGCCCGAGAAGGAAGACGAAGAGGTGCCCGAGAAGGTCAACCAAGAAGGCACGCTCACGCTGCGGCTCGTTGGCGGCAAAGACCTCCAGAGCGTCCAGGTGCTGCAGACCACGCCGCCACTCCTCTCGTTTCCCGCGTTGACGTTTGGTCCGAAAGACATGGCGCTCCAAGAAGCGTGCATGCTCGAAGTGCTGGACGAGATACCGTCGCTCATCACCGAGCTGCATCCCAAGTTCCTCCTCTCGCTGCGCCCGCACGACCCGATCTTCCAGAGCCGCATCTCGTCGCTTCTCGAGCACGTCAAAGGGCCCGCGAAGCTTCGCAGCGCGTCGCGGCGGCGCGGCCCGAAGAAGAAGCTCGTACGCCACGACACGACGCCCGTGCTGTACTTTTTGGCGGCCGTGAGCGCAAAGTTTCAAGCCGCCGTCGCCAAGGAGGAGGAAGATCGACGCACGGCGCCTCCGTCCACCGAGACGAAGACGCGCTTTAGCTGGATGGCACTCGAGACGCAGACAACCCTGCCCGTCACGACCGAGACACCGACGGACGATCTGCATTTGAAGCTGCACACGAGCAGCTACATGCAGTCGCTCGAGGCCAAGCGCGCCGCGCGCTTCAAGCGCATGCAAGTCAAGAAAGCACAAGTCTGCGGGGACAAGCAAAAGCTCGCGAGCTTACCGCGGCTCCTCGGCGGGCGCAAGACAGGGACCAATGTGCTGCACTGCGTCGACTGCCACGCAGCCGTGACGCTCTCGGGCAAGGGCGACGGGAGCATGGAGCTCACGTGCAGCGCGCAAGGCTGCGTCCACGTCTTCTGCACGGTCTGCTATGGGAAGCTGCCCGCGTGTGAGAAATTCTGCGACGACTGCTACCTCCACGAGCACGGCAACATGGAAGTGCTGGGCATGCAGCTGCGCTCGGTGCTCCTCTCCAAGCTCGCAGCGTCGGACGCCCAACTCATTGCACTCGACGAGATGTTTGGCACGCTCGACGAAGACGCGTCGGGGGACTTGACGGTCGCCGAGTTCACCAAGGTAGCCTCGACACTCTTCTCTTCTCTCGTCGTTAGAGAGAGATTGTAGTTCTTAGACAAGCTGGCGCTGCACCCGCCGCTCACGACCGCGCAGATTGCGGCGCTCATGGAAGAGCTCGACGTCGATGGCAACGGCACGCTGAGTCTCGACGAGTTCAAGCGCTGGATGCTGGGGAAGGAAGCCGCGTGGGCGCCGGAGATGGTCAAGGACGACGACGAGACGTGGCGACGGTCGCCGCGCGCGGGCCGCCGAACCACGCTCGAGGCCGCCGAGCGCGCGCTGCTCGTGCCGTGGATCGAGTCGGTGCTCGTGGATTTGGTCGCCGACGTCCTCGGCGCCGTCGCCAACGCGCCGTCGCCGTGGATCGTGACGGCCCACACGACGCCGACGCTCGAGGTCGTGAGCAAAGCCGC